AGAGCTGAAATGCAAAAACAGCCTTAATTAGATGTAGCAGGATTGCTGTAGTCAGTAGGGCTTACTCAGATGGCTAAGGGCTAACTGAAATAATAATGATTTATAGGATCAGGCTTTTTGTCAACTAGTCAGTAATATCATCTGCTGCTCCCTTTTTATTTTTTTATGAAGGACTGATACCAACTTCTCAGATTGCTCCATCTCTTTATCCCACAGTTTCTTCTAGCCATTTGAAAATGTTGCCTTATAAACCACTGGAAAACTAAGAAATATTTGCATCAAAACATTTTTTAAAATTCCTAACAGTTTAGTTACTGCCTTAAAAAATAAAATCAAAATCCTTTAAAGCTGCTGTGGATTAGTAAGAAATGATTTTGAGAGAGAGTAGCTGCATTATTTGCCCTTTACTAAAAGGGACTGGCATTTTTATTTATCAATACCAAAGATGAAGCTACACAATTATAAGTTGTGATAACTTGCTGTGAAAAAAACCCCTCTATAGTGATATGTATTGTGCATTTTTAGTGCATGTGTTTTAAAGTCTTCTGAAACCTCAGCTTGTTCACTCTTTGAGTTAAAGGTGAAGTTTTTCAAAGGCACAAGGAGCAGTTGGGTACCTCAATCCTGTTATCTTTCAGTAGAAGCAGGACGTCCTTGACTATAGACCTCGTTATCACCATTGCATTGTAAGCCTGCTTCCTAGGACAGCTCTTCAACACCAGGAAAAACATACAGCATCTTCTTTCTAGGATCCATACTTCACTAACGGATGCAGATTTTTGTATGCCTGTTCCATCTCCCACATTAGCCAAACATTTTTCTTAGCTGCTGACTTGTGTATTGAGCATGTGTGTGTCTTTTTAGCTCTCTTTTTTTTTAGCTGCAAGCAGTTTCTGGACTTCTAGGAGTAATTCTGATCTGAATTTCCAATGGATCTGAAGCTGAGTTATGCTGCCAGTTCGTCTCTTTATCATGCCTAGCACAAAACTGCACTAAGTGTTTCTTATCACTGTGCCCTGACTCTGCCTTAACCTGTAAGTTGAAAAAGTGTTCTGTAAATATTTAAAAGCTGTTACTAAATTGCACTGTAAAATTTGGCAAGTGTATTCTGTGTTGCTGGGGGAGCCAACTTTTTGTGAAACAATTTTCCCATTGTGTTATGTAAATAAAAACCTTAGTAAGCACAGTTTTGCTAGTATGTTGTTTTACAAACTGGAATCTCTCAGGTTTGGGGCTTTTTCCAGACTTGAAACTGATTTTAGAGTCAAGGGCTTGGTATGAGAATGCAACTCACAGGCTGAAGACTGCAATTCCTAAAGATGTGCAGCAGCTGTGAAGAAATGAGCGCCCTATTAATAATGAAAGACAGTGCTGATCTTCAGAAGAATTAAGCCTTTCTGGGCAGAATGTGCCTGGCCTGGTAAGAGTGGGCAACCCTGGCCTTACTACTGCCTTGGGGTCTGCATTGTGTAAACGTCCCTTTGGTTTACCCACTTAGGGCAGGTTGGTTTTAATCTTTTTCTATTTTTAAAAGAGCTAATGAACAAGTGACAGTGGGAGCAAAGCTACAACCCTTTGTTTTTTTCCTACTGGTTTGTAACATGCCAAGACCAAACCAACTTGCAGTTCTTATTTCATTGCTTCATGTTTGCAACAGCTCCACTTGGGAACACCAGTTATCACCTCAATAATTCCACTTAATTCCACCTTGTTCACAGACTCTAACCCCTTTCTCAAGCTTCATCAAGAAAACCCTTGAACTATATCCAACGCTGAAGATGGAAATAAAAGCCAGACCTGCTCCAAAGCTGTTTTCTTCCAAAGACAGAAGTAGGTAGAAACAGAGAGCATCTTTCACAGCACGCTAACCAAAAACAGCACTAGGGCCTGTTACAGATGCCACATAGTTTGTGGGTTAAGTAGTGTTGTCTCATACCTGCGCTATGTGCTGCTTTTAGAACACTCTTGCAATGAGTTGGTAAGCTTTGAGGTCCTCTCAGCACAACTAGTAGTAGCATTTCTGTGCAGCTGCTGCACAAGGTCCCTGCCTAATCAACCAGACTCTGTCTGATGCAAAGCTACTTGTAAGACTTTGGGGTCGGTCACAAGCCACACTTAATTTATGACGCAAGGAAACAAAAGCTTCTAGCAATCTATCCCCTGTGCATTCTTCTACTCCATATTTAAAACAATTTTTAAAAGAGCCAAACAAGCCACATATGATTTATACTTTAATACAGAAAAGAAACCATACAGCTGTAGTTCATACACACCACAGGTAACACTTCAGTATATCTAGAATAAGACAAAACTTGATCTTGTACCTGAAGCAGGTGACCATGAGAGGAAGAAAAGCAAATGCATACTTTCTCAATTTGATTTAGTGTTCCAATGGAACTCCCTCTATTAAATAAAATAAAAGATTCATCTTCAATTACTTGGGAAAGCCAATAAACTACTGTGGCTTTCTGGAATGATAAAAACTGCATGGAAGTCATGGAATCCAGATACCTCCATCCCATGCTGAAGGTCCAATTGATCTCACAAGGTACCACCAAACTCTTTCAAGGCATTGACAGTCTTTAACTCTTGGGCAACGTCTGGCTGCAGTTCAGCACTTGGGGTTAACCATTTCTAATGAAGTGGCTGAATCCTTCAAGAGGCCTAGCTAACACTGGGCACAGGGACGGACACTGGTGAGGCTTGTTGTGGCTGAATATGGATCCCATAAGGTGCCGTTCATGGCAGATGCTTGGCATCCAGTACCTTTACACAGTCCTGTAAGGTAGTGCTCAACAACATGCACGTTCAAGTCCTTAGAGCAGAACATGTATAAACTCCAATCCCAAGTCTGCTGGTCAATACCAAGACACATTTACTTTAAACTTACACTGCTGTAAAAATAAATACACAGAAAAAAATCCATAGGGCCTGGGGACAAGTTCCACCATTGCTGGGGGAGGGGGGACAGTCTCACCAGTGCCTTTGCTTGATTTGTGGGAACAGCTCATTACCAAGGCAAGTAATGGGGTTAGTCTGGCCCTTAGCTGGAAGGTTCATGGTCCATGTGTCTTCCTTTCTCTACTACAAAAATAGAAATTCATCTAAAGCAATAACGGAAAGTGATTGCACACTACCTCCGTGCAGATACTGAAGGACACTTCTCTATACTCATCCAATGACACACACGGAGGATTTTTCAGAAGTCATCAGGTGGACCTGGGCATCTGAACCCCTGGGACTCTCAAAGTCCTGAAACACTTTTGGAAATCTTCCCATAGGCACTTATAAAAAGAAGAAATCTATTCGCTGCCCTTAGGAAAGAAACTAAGAACAGAAACACTGCAAAGAATGGAACCTGTATCCATATAAATGGGAACTAAATGTATCAGCAAGTATATGCCTTGGCAGAGATTTTGTTGCTCAAAACAACACTCATAAACCTTCAGGAAAATTTGTGATTGATATTGTCATGTTACTTATACTGAGAAAAAACCCCATCCTTAGCAGCCAAACAGTAACAGTGATTTTCAATGCTAAGTCTACCACACACTTTGCAGACAGATGGAGAAAAATAAAAATTTGCTTGATGCAACCCTGACAACAAAGGATTAAACTTTCTAGCAGTAGACTAGTACCTACCTCTATTTTGCCAAGAATGACCCAGTAACTCAATGCACGTTACAGATTTCAACAGCAGTGAATCGCAAGAGCAGAACCGACCTGAACTTAACAACTTTGCAAGGGAGCACTCTCCCTCTTTCTTTTTGAATGGGTTTCGGCTTTTCTTTGCACTAGCACCATGTTTAAGTACTCCGCTTTGGGTAAGTAAAACCTCTACACAACCATCAGAAGTGATGGTTTTGTAAGGCAGGCCTGTTCTGGTTGACGTCCAGCTCGGTTGTGGCAGTACTGAACTCACTGTGTGCTAATCAGGGAGTTACACAAGCCTACAGGAACAGGACCAGCTAGGCTCTAACATAACTACCTGAGCTAAACCAGCCTGGAGTGCACCTATTCCTATAGTCACAGCTTTGTTGGCACTGAATCCAAAATGAACAGAGCCTTAACCACAGACTAAGATTATATACTCAGAGCAGCAGAGTTGTTCCTAGGTACACGTATTTTTCTCTACTGAAGGCTGGTTTACTACTGGTATTTCTTACCTGCCTGACAGCAAAATGGTCCAGTCAGTTCCAAATTGGGAAGAGAGTAGCTGGCCTTTTAAAGCTGCAAAAGTAGAATGCTCCTTGGTGAGTCTGCAGAAATTTTGACTAAAGTTGATGAGACCAAGGATTTTACTCAGGTAATAAACTATCTGTAATGAGAGTTCCTCCACTGGCTTTTTCTGTCTTAGCAGGGGGACAGAGGAGACAACTGAAAGTCATTAGCACGCACAGTCACTTTTGGAAAGCTTCTTAGATCTACCAGGCTACTAAACAGATTTACTTTGTTGGTAAAATATCAACTACAGTAGCTTCTTTTCGGCTTTTTCCTTCAGCATGATCTACTTGTTTTACTCAACAGACAACATCCTTAAAATCAGCGATTTCATCTTACAGAGAAATATATATGGGGAAATTCCTGTGAACAGGCATATGCTTCCTATTAAACTAGTTCATCCTTCCCTAGAGCAGCAGTACAACACGCTGGATGCAAAGCCAGGGGGCAGTGTAAACAGGTTCCTCCACACGCAGGATTTTGCTTTCATTCCTCTACACTCAAGATTTTGCTGTCACAACTGTGCTACATTTCTGCTGGTTGATGAAAGAGTATCATCTGTCCTGCTTTGATGTTCGGTCCTTTATAACTGATTATCACAAAAGCAAAGCTAAGTGCCTAATGGTAAAGGAAAGCTTTGTCCCGACAGGCCCACAATTTCCTCTTTCATGTCAAACATGACGTTTCTAAATACTTCTCTTCTTTTAGAAGTTTAGGTAAAATATTCAGCACCCACCAGTCTTTGTAGTAGAAACAAACAGCATAATTTCTTTTTGTCTGAGTAGACGTTGCTTTTGATTGCACAATTAGACTATGGAGTGTGGCTCTTTATTAACATGCTTGAAATATGACAACATAGTAAGAGCATGAAGGAGGATAAAGCACCTTGCAGGAGTCTGTGTTCCATCACCTGGGATGAAACTATGCTGAGACATTCCCACATCAAGCAGGACTATGCACCCTGAGAAGGACTAATCTGGTAGATCGTTAACAGCCATTTGGCTGAACGGTGCGTTTAGCCTGTCGAGTTCATCTACTTGTGGGGGGTGATGCATTATAACCTCATGGTCCTCTGAAACGTCATCACCCACAGTGACTAGGTTTGTTAGAGATTTGCTCCGAACACACTGGAAATCAACATGACGGCTTTTGCCTTCTTCCTTTTCCCATGACATCTGTATGAATGGCCGTTGAACATAGTTGTATATCACTTCTGAGCGGCCACCAGGCCTCCTCTTCACCTTCTCTTTACAGGTGGGGTATCCTGAAAACACAGAGACAGTCAGTTGCACTACACACCTTTGACTTGCACAAAGGGACAAGGGGATCCCAGAAGAACAGCCAGGCAGGAATGATTATGCAGGCAAGGGGGACGTAGTAGACTAATGCTTACGTTCCACATTACTGCCTTGCTTTCTTTTCCCTTGAAAAGACGGTGCAGCGTTGTGTGTAGTCATATGATCAATGGCTACACAGCATTAGCCATTTGGTGAACGAACATAGCTACTATAAAAATAAGAGTCTCTCAGGACAGAACACAACATTCTCTAAGCTCCCTAAGGGAAAGCTTGGATTAGCAGGCAAAAGTGTTTGACTCCCCTTTCCTGTTTACTCAGGCCTAAAGAGACAAGGCTTGCGGGTACATGCTATGTATCTCTCATTTTTCCCTCAATTTTTAAGCCTCCTGGCCAATTTCAGTGTAACATGATAGTGGTGAAGGAAGATGCCCAGCTTTTACTAGTTTCATGAAAATAAATGCCTAGTAAAACATAGAGCAAAACAGGAAATGCCTAGAATCCAGAGGAAACCAGGCTTTACTGACTATGGAGTCACCTGGTTTAGAATTTCCTTTGTTGAAGAAATACTTTACCTTCAATGCCAATGCGAATATTTTTCAGGCCCCGTTCCTTTAATACAGCTTTTGCAACATCGCGGTTCTCAATGTACTTGAAGAATCTGTACAGCTTGGAACTGTAAAGAACTTGAGAAATAAAAAAGGGTGATTAGAATCTACACGGGGATGCTGAGCTGTGGGGTGCCAAAAACTAGGTCTGGTTTCCAAGAATTCTTTCAGGTGTCTGTTCTCATCACTGGGATTAGCTGCGCTTCCTTGGTTAGAGGGTAGTGCTAGACATTACAGTCTGGATAGATTGGGTGGTGACAGGTGTGTAAAGCAAAGTGTATTCACTCACTGGGGAGCCAGGAAAGGGCTGAGGGGGAGGCAGCAAACGTAAGGAAAGGATGCAGTGAGTGCTGTCATTACCAATGTCAGACCAAAAACTCCAACTACCCACGCAGCCTGCCTTCAGAAGGTATGTACAAAACACGACTTCACATGCCAGCATCTCTTCCTGGAGGAAGACTGCTGTTTGGGCAATGGGTCCTTTCCTTATGGCCAGATGTCTGGGTGCGTGCTGAACACAGAGCCAGGAGTCCCAGCATGGAGCCCTTACTTTGTGAGTACTCCTCTCCCATCGGAGGTGGATGATCTTCATCCCAGTCCACAGTGTCTTCATCTGTCAGCACGACAATATGGCATTCACGTTCCCCTTTTCTTGCGCTATCCACCATTATAGGCAGAATTAGCTCCTCCAGGTAGCTATCAAACTGCTTGTGAGCACCGTCATTGGAGAGCTCATGTAACAGAGCACCTAATGAGACAGAAATCATACGATGAGCTTTTTTACACAGTATGAAAATACGTCTCAGCTCTACACTTTCCAGATACATTCAAGAGCACAGCCCGCATTCTTCTTTAGACAAACTCCTTATGTTCAGATGCATCAATATTCTCCAGCTCCAGCACTGGCAAAATCAGCAACATGAAACTGCATTTCAAATGGGATGCAAACTACAATGTAGAACCATTACATTACCATTAAAAACCACCAAGGTCCAATCAATACAGTGAAACAGTCTGAACTTGAATTTCCAGCAACATCTCTGTCCTTGAAAGCACATTTTCTGCCTTCTCTGTGATCACTCAGTAGAGGACAGGGTAGGAAACTCCACCCAAGCCTGTGCTCTGATACTAATGCCCCATTTCAGTATAGTGCCTTTCACAGGTTTGCCTATGTTAAAAGGACAATTTTTTGCCAGAATACTTAGCAAAAAGTTGCTCTCAGTCAGATCCCTTCATGACTAGGAAGTCTACTACTTTCTGACTTTGGTGCCTTCAGTTCCTGCTCTGCCCATCATCTGTCATCTTAAATTATTCACAATTCTCTGGTACATTTTAGATAGGAGCTATAACCCTGCTTTTAGACTTCATTTTGTTTGGCTGTAACAGTAAGCTCTTCTTCTCGGTCTCTGTTAGAAGAGGAGACTAGAATTTTTACAATTTCAATTTGTTTTTTAGAGCCAGGTGTCTGCATTCTGCAGGATTCAATGACTTCACTTTGGATTGATGCAGCAAAAAAGGAACCTGTTTAAATGCAACACATACAAGAGTCCTAGTGGAGTCGGTACCTTCACACTTGAACTAAAGCACATGATTAAGAAGTGCACTGAATCAGGATCAGAGTGCTCAACACCATGCAGATCTCCTACGAGCTGATTTCTCTCTGTACTTACTTAAATCTTGACATTTGATTGTGTTGAAATCAAAGTTTATGCAGAGGTAATCACATGTGTCTCGAAGGTCTGGGATGGAAATCCCATCAGGGCAGTTAATGATTCCGGTTTTGTAATAATCCTGCAAATAAAAGGACAGGTTTTGGTGAGAAAAATTAAGAATAGCTTGGACTTTGATAATTTTTAATTCATTTCTTTGTTTTGTTAACCAACATATGAGAGTTACGAAGGCTATACATAGTCCTGTGAACAGTAGAAACATCTTGTCCAAGAATCTACATCTCTTTGCAGATCCTCTTGGGTCTGATAAACTGTGAGCTCCAGTTAAAACTTTTCCCATGGCATAGGGTTTCATAACATCTCATATGCAATACACACTTATATGCAACTGTGAAGTCAAGACACAGCTCAGGAACTACGATGACATGACACAAGAAAGGCAAAAGGCAACATAAGCAAATATCTGAAATGTTGACTCATACCAAAGTCTACTATGTGTATGTTTTTTTTTTTAAAAACACAATGCAAAACAGTAATAAAAGGTTATGTCCCGGGGTGTGCGCAGCTGCCTGGGAGATGGCTCAGTTTTGCACGTGACAAACAGATTGGGTTTTTTCAATCTGCAAACATCTCCTTACCAGCACAGTCCGGAACACAGCTGAGCTAATTCCTTCTGCGATTTCGTATTCTCCCTTTTCATTTGGCCTGGTGAAATTATATTCTCTTCCTGGTCCAAACATTCTGAACAGATAAAAATCTATGTAAGTGCACAAGTATACTTAAATGCATTCATTCCAGAGACCAACAGGTGCATTGAGGTTAAACAAAACCAGCAGTGACACATATATACAATAACTTGAAACCTATATGCAAATCTCTTGCATAGTAAATAAGCACAAGATCTGGCTCGGCTAAGTCCTCCTATAGCTAGACTCTGTCGCTATAGCTACCATATTGTATGGAACAAGCCATAGCTCAAAGGAACAGATCATTCAACCCTGTGTCAGAAAATACCCCGGCAATAAAGCCCTTTCACTGAGGCTGTGCAAGATAACCGTCACGTGCCTTTGGATCCCTTCTTTGACACAATGAACTGTGCAAGGGTCAGTAACCCAACAGAACCTGGCTCCCTTTGGTCAGAGATGGGTGAAAGCAAAGGCAACACAGAAAATGAGTGCTTCTTATTGCATCAATAGGCTCCAACCTTGAAGTCATGTTACAGTGAGCTAAGCAACTTCTGTTACAGGAGAGTATCATAAGGTAACAGCAGAAGGGGGATGGGGCATTATCATTTCCCCCACTCTGGAAGGAAATTTATCAGCTTTGAACAGACATACTACTTACAAACAAGGCAAACATTTGGAGAGAAGGCAAAAGCAGACCATGTGTAGCTAAAAGTACATGTTGTTTGAAGGAAAAGGACTGAAGGTAGAATGTCATCTAGAGAACTACCAACTCTCTCTACATCTGGTCTTGTTTTCAAGGCCTCACTCATAGCCAAGTTCTGAATGAGCTCAACCTCGCTTCGCTTGTGGGTACAGATGAGATCACAAAACAAGCATGAGGAGTTTGTTCCATTTCAGTAAACATTTGACCCCCTCAAGGTATCCTGAAAATGGTGGAAATCACCCACCTTCCCAGCATAGTATCAGGGTGAGCAGTGAAAATCTGTGGATTCACTGCAAAGCGAGTGCCATCTACCACAAGCGTCACTTTCTCTGGAGCCACTGTTTGCGAATTGATGCTTGAAGACAAAGCGCAGCATCCATGGCGTTCCTGGCTATTAAAATATTCTGACTGTCTCTTATTTCCATCTTGGAAGTGACAGTTGTGTGTGTCTTCAGGAGCAGACAACATGCTACTGATCTGGGGACTTGCTGGACAAGCAGTATGTCGGCATTCAGAATCTAAACCTGAGAGACACAAACAAGTATTGCGAGGGGAGGATATAATTTACTTGAAAACATGATTTCATAGTACCACTTGTAACTACATAGTAACTACTCTATGAGAAAACGGAGTCATACAATAACAATACGATAACAAAGGATGTCAATATACGTAACTGTCAGGGTAATGTCATATGACATAAAACTAGACTGCATTTTCAGATTGAGCTAGCAGTTGGATTTTGGATAAAAAATTTCCTGATGATGCTTAATACTCCTTGTTAAAGCAAGATGAATTCAGTGTGTACAGAGCAGGAGTACAGGAATTAAACAAGGCCAGAAATACAGACACAGATTCCTGGCACTGACAACTACTCTCAGACGAGCACTGGAGCAGAAGCACAGACCAGGCTAACGGTGGTTTAAGCCAGCAGTGCTTGATGCCCAGTCCATGGTGGGCACACTGCTCTTCAGGACTGAACAGCTACTTTCAGTTAATCTCAGGCACAGATTAACAGCTCATGAGAAGCAGCAAGTTGGCCGGCCGGGGCATACCCATGTGATGGTCTTGTCCAGACAGCAAAATTCTAAACTCTGCTGTGGACCACTGTGCTTTAGGCCAGCCTGGCTAAGGCAGCGTACATACTCCCCAGTGCAAACTGCCTTGGGATACTGGAATTTTTCCAAAACATAACACCCCTCAAAAAAATCTCCCTTAAAGATTACTATAAGGTAAAAACATTATCCTTACCCTCAGTCCTGGGAACTGCAGCAGGGCTATGACCTCCTAGCACCACGTTACTTTCTTCTGACTCACGGACTGCTACAGTTTTGTTTTCCACAGAGCAACTGGACTCCACATTTCTTGACCAGTCTGTCCCACCAGCACAGTTAACATTCATGCTGGGCCTCCGTGACGTGAGGAGCTGGTTGCGTTTCCTAAGAGAAGAGCTAGGAGAGAAAATACCAGGTTTAGTTTTGGAAGAAACTTCCAAGCAATTAAGCTCAAATCCCTGTATCTGGTACCACAAGCAAAGTCCACCAGGCTCAAAAGACATTTCTTCAGACACTTAATTGTGCTTCAGAGAGACTTCTGATGCTAGTTATGCTCCTACACTAACCCAGGAAGAGGAAAAAGGGGGTTTAAAATAACCAAGGGTCTATTTAATCTATGAATCTTTGTTTTTTTAAAAGTAAGTCTAAAGACACTGATGTCCTTAGATCACATGTGTGTTCCTGCAAAAACCTTCCTGGCAATTGCCTGACCTCCAGAGAGTTGGAGCCCTTTAAAAATGTTTACGTATCTCTCAGTTCCCAGCCCTGGCAAAAAAGTGAGCTCTGTAACATGACTGTAACCCAAAATATGTTTTCCCAGTTAACAGCTCAGGCATTGCCTCTTAACGACTCTGAGGTTTGACTAGGAGGCTCCTGGCTCCAAGTAATTCTTTTTTTCCTTTTTCTTCCTTGTTCTTGATTTATCACCATGCTCACCCCAGTATTTAACCCAATATAGTCCTACACAAATACTCCTACTGCATAGAACAGCCATGACTGCAGCAGCCTTACATCCATCACACCCTGGCTCAGCTCACTACACACACCTCTTTAACCAATGCCATTCAGATCTTAAATGTTCTTTCAGCATATGCAGAGAGACATCTTCCATTTTTGCTGTTTGGCTATTTCATTCGTAAGTAAAATTCTTCTTCACTGTTCCTATCTTTAGGATTGGCTTCACTCCTTTATATCTTCTAACAGA